AAAATTTAAGTACTCTAAATAATTTAATATTTTATTTAATTTTAGGTACTTTGGCTTCATAGTCTAACTTACGAAGACACTTGTTAAGGAAATGTTAGAAAATTACCAATAAATTTTAACGTTACTATAGTGATCACACTTATTTTCTGATAATGTCGCGTTGGGGCATCCGCATTTTTAAAAATCGACACGTTTATACACACAAAAATGTCAAAATTATTTTTAAAATATTAAGGGTCGATGAATTGTAATGAGCTTTACTCATTTATGATTAGTAAATAGTCTTAATTTAATAACAATATCACTTGACTCCTATAAATTAATACAGAATTTGAAAAGATTTAAAAGTTTATAAATTATTCTAATTAAAATAAAAAAATGAAAACAATTCACAAAATTACATTATTCATCGAAAAAGTGTTTTTCTTCAGACAATAGTGTCAATAATGTTTTAATATCATTAAAAAGTTTCACTGCATTTTTTTATTTTACGATACAAAACAACTGGGTCCTCCTTGACAACTGGGTCCTCCTTGAAAAAGAAAGTTCCATGATTTAAATTATCCGAATATAATTTCTTGAAATTTCAAAAAAAAAAAAAAAAAAAAAAGATGCTAAAATATCCCAAAATAATTAATTTCTGATACAACGTTGACAAAACCAAAATTTCGAAAATTCTAAAAAGGGTTTAAAAAATAATTTTTATATAAAACATCCTTTCATCTATCCTCTTAGTAATAACAAATATTTTGACGAAAATACTTTGTTTTTATTACGTTTTAGGGCATTTATTTAATCATGTATGCTCAAATGGGTCCATGTGTGTATATATGGGGAAATATGAAACAGAATGTCGGTGTCTACCTCAGTGTCCATTTATATATATATATATATATATATATATATATATATATATATATATTCACACACTCACACCCACCCACACACACATATATATATATATATATATATATATATATATATATATATATATATATATATATAATTAGAGTTAGAGAGTGGGAGAACAGAGAGAAAGAGAAAAACAAAAATTTGTTCGAATATAAAAAAAACTCAATGTATGAAATGAGTGAAAGGTTTGGAAAAGCATAGAATTTCTTTAGGGAAACATAAATCCCAATGAACAGACGAAATGATGCCGTAGAAAGATTATTGTGCATTCCTTTTTGTTGCATTTTGATGAAAATGACAAATGCAAATAATCGATCTTTGTATAAAATTAAAAAAAAAAAAATCAACTTTCGACGAAGATTGAAATGGACGAGGGAGAGAATGAGAAGATACGTAAAAAGGATGTAAGACGAAGAAGAAAAGGAAAAAAAGTATGAAATATTGGAATAATTTCAGTTGTCAACAGCTGTCGTTTTTTTCAATAATCCAACCGGTAATTATTCATTTTTCTTTGTACCTATTTTTTGTTAATATTATAATATTATCATTTTTAAATATTGACAGATAGAGACGATAACTGGTTGTCTGTTCAATATTAGATGTGGTTTTAATAGTAATGGGTTGAAAGTAAAGTTCTTTATTGTAATTGGTGGTGTTTCCAAATCTGTTATCATTACACACGTTACTGAAATTTATGACCGACATACATATTCTGAAATGTAAAATTTCAACGCGTCCAATTCGTGTGTGGATTGTAAATTTGAAATATTTTGTGCTAAAAGAGAAAATGGTGGCACATGAGATTTTCTTCATGTCATACTCATTTATTTTCAGCAAAAAACAAAAAAAAAAAAAAAAAAAAAAAAAAAAACACACACATTTTAAAAACATAAAGATTATATATGCCGTTTATGGAGATGGTAGTGTGGATTCCGAAGTAGAAATTTTGGTCTAGAAGACGTAGAATAAACCAGAAGATCAGATGATGAACAAATTGTAGTGATAGTCAAATGACACAGGATATCTTAGAGGTACTCCAAATATATCATATGAGTGTTGTAAGGCCTTCGAAAACATTGTTTGATACGTGAGTCACTGCGATGTTTGCGTGTCCCCCAATTGAATAGAACAAAATTAGGGGACTCCATTTTCATCTGCGATTCTCTGTTCCCATGCAACAAAACAATTTTTAAAATTTATTTTTATTAATTTATTTATCAATTTTTAAAAGAAAGATAGCAGGCGATGAAAAGTAGATTGTTTATAACAAGGTGTTTCGAAATGGGCATGGAGGAAACGAAATGAACCACTGTTAATCACGTCAAAAGCCGGTCTGCATCTGAAGAAGGTGATGCTGCTTGTCTGGTGGGACTGGAAGGACATTGTGTATCATGACCTAATTTATGCACAGTCATGGGACCATTTCAGACAAATGAATAGCATCCACACTTGACCAGTCGAGAACGTGCCAATATTCATCAGGACGACACCAAACCTCTCGTCTCATTGCAGACTAGGCAGAAAGAATTACAGATTGGCTGATATGTCATATTATATTCGCTGTACTCATCTGTGCCTTCGGATTACCATTTCGATCCCTAAAAAATTCTCGTAATGGGAAGAACTTCAGTTCTTTGGAAGCCTGTAGAAACACTTAGTTTATGTCTCAGAAGAATACCAATTTCTGCGAAGATAGAACCATATAGCTGCCAAAAAGGTTGCAAAAGGTTACTGGAATAAAGTTGTACATATGTGATTGTAAAAACTTATATACAAATATGTAAATATTTTATTTGAAATTCGCTTAAAAGCGCTACGGACTCTAGTTTCGACAGAATACTACTCTTAATTCATCGAGAAATGTGCAAGTGAATAAGAGAAAATAAATATTATAAGAACAATATTATCGGAGGCTGTCATCGAAAATAATAAAAAAAATACCATTATATTTAACTTTGGAATGCAAACATAACACGCTATCGAAGCAAGTAGAACGAATCTGTTACTTTCTTTCTTTTTTTTATAGTAAACAATAAAAAGCGATATTGCGAAATCGTGGATTTAGCTTTTTTCAAGAGGCCATACAATGAAAATGAAAAAAAAAAAGTAAAGAAAAAAAACTAGAATTAGAAAAAAATAACCAAAAATCGAACGATTGATAGGCTGGGAATTATCTCAGACTCAGTCGAAATTGAAGGAATTGGAGATTTGAAAAATATTTGAGGTTGTTGGGGTCAGCGATAGTTTTGAGGAAGATACGACATGTTTAAGAAGACATGTTGTCACTCAATCCTCAACAACAACAACCTTCACATCGGCTCTGAACATTGAAATTCTTTAACGATTGGAATAAATTGTAATCCAAAGACACAATATTTGGTGAATACAGCAGGAGAGTGGAAGCATTTCATCAAAGTCGAAGCAATCTTTCTGTAGTCACTAAAAAACATGCTGTATAGTGTTATCCTTATGAAGTATTAGGTTCGTTGTCTTAACTAATTATATGCGCTCTTTTGCTTTGAGAAAAGTACTTGTTTGAATCAATCGTTGTCTAACTGAATACATAATTGCATATCTATTTAATTGAGGATTAAATTGAATTCCTGTCTAGTTATTCATGAACGCCGAGTTAGATGATCACAGGTATAATCAGAATATTGTATACAAGATCAATGACAATGAGGATTTATTTTTAAAAGACTGTTTTCGACAATATGACCAATATATGGGAGTCGATGTGCTCTAAAACATAATTAATATCTGAATCCCGATTTAGAATTAAACAGTAAGAAATTAATTTAAACAATTTTTGTTACCCCCAGCAAAAAAACAAAAACAAAAACATTATATATATATTAACAAATTATTAAATTATATTCCTAATTCAAACATTAAAAACTAAGGAAAAAAGTGAGACTGCTGCATAACGTTAATAAAATTTGAAATGCATGCGAAATAAAAGTATGAAATGTCGATCAGTTAGGGAAAAGGAAAATGCTTCTAGAAAATCTAACAAGACGTAAAATAAATGTAGATATCATGATTTTTTATCGATGGTAGTTTTAAGCTTTCCTGCACAATGCACCTGCTTCTTTGCGATTTGGAGCATTTTCGAGTAAAGATAAGAAAATATGTTAATCAGAAGGCGAGGAAATGACATTGTGAGAAACTGATTCAATATCGAGTTTTGGGAAAGGCAAAAATAACATTTGCTGTAATTGACACACACACACGCACACACACATATATTTATATATGCATACACGTATATGCATTTAAGGTCTTTATATGGGACTTGAACACTATATATCTATCTATGTTTATATCTACTTATCTATCTACTCTTATTTATCTGTCTATTCATATCTATCTTAGTCTTTTCATATCTTTCTCGGTTTGTTATGATCTATGTATGTATATTTATATTTACTTATCTATCTACTCATCCAGTCTTTACATTTCTATCTATCTATCCATCCATCTATCTATGTATATATCTACTAATCTATCTACTTATCTATCAACTCATATTTATCGATCTATTCATATCTAGCTCAGTCTTTTAATATCTATCTCTCACAGTCTGTTCCCTATCTATCTATCTATCTATCTATCTATCTATCTATCTATCTATCTATCTATCTATCTATCTATCCCAGTCCATTATCTGTCTATCTATACCAGTCAATTATCTATCTATCTATCTATCTATCTATCTATCTATCTATCTATCTATCTATCTATCTATCTATGTCTGTTCATGATCTCTCTCTCTCTCTCTCTATCTATCTATCTATCTATCTATCTATCTATCTATCTATCTATCTATGTCTGTTCATGATCTCTCTCTCTCTCTATCTATCTATCTATCTATCTATCTATCTATCTATCTATGTCTGTTCATGATCTCTCTCTCTCTATCTATCTATCTATGTCTGTTCATGATCTCTCTCTCTCTCTCTCTCTCTATCTATCTATCTATCTATCTATCTATCTATGTCTGTTCATGATCTCTCTCTCTCTCTCTCTATCTATCTATCTATGTCTGTTCATGATCTCTCTCTCTCTCTATCTATCTATGTCTGTTCATGATCTCTCTCTCTCTCTATCTATCTATCTATCTATCTATCTATCTATCTATGTCCGTTCATGATCTCTCTCTCTCTATCTATCTATCTATCTATCTATCTATCTATCTATCTATCTATCTATGTCTGTTCATGATCTCTCTCTCTCTCTCTCTCTCTATCTATCTATCTATCTATCTATCTATCTATCTATCTATCTATCTATCTAAGGTTTTTCGTTTTCTGATCTGCTTCACGTCATTCCATTTATTTCTGAACACTGGTGTTACACTAACTCCCTCTTAAACAATCATTATATTAAAAAAAATTTCACATCTGTATGATATAAATATCTCTTCTTCTATATATCTATAGTCCTAGCAGCAAGGCCTCTGTTCGGGATAATGGGGGTTTTAAGGAGCAGAGTAGTAGCACCTGTTAGGGTCCCTAGCTATGAAATCAATAGTGAACCCCGAAGCAAAAGCAAAACACTGTGAAAGTATAAAAAGACATTTTTATTGTAAATACGGTAGCAATACATATTTATATATTAATAAATTACCAATATTTATAGTAAAATTGCCAACAATACATATTTATAGTAGAATGACTAACACTGCATTTTATATCAAAATGACCAACAATCCATTTTATCTGTAGTTGAAGGTTTGTAATTGCGTTCCAAATATTTTTAGATGAAGCCATAAAATTTTGTTCAATATATGTAGATTTAAGCATGAAATAATCCACGGAGGTGTTGATATGCCACTAAACAAAATCAACCAACCAACTATATATCTATATACAAACTTAATAAACCCAATATGACAAAGTAAAATGTTTTAAAATGATTTTAAGGTAAATAACGTCACTGCTAAGGAAAATGGATCAATACAGTTTTCTTACTTACATAACACTTCCTGAATTTGTCATGCCATGTAACCTAACTTGGTATTTTTAACATGAAACATGTGATCAATCTTTAATATTTACAATTTTTGTTAAAATATATACATACATACATACATATATATATATATATATATATATGTATATACCTTACTTACAGTTACTCTTTAAGACCTAGAAACCTAGATATTAAGCTCTGAGCAATTGGGAAAGACGAGGAGAAGGAAATGAGGATGTGGAGGAGGAGATGTAGAATGTAAGAAAGACAAGACAACCAGGTGAAAAAAGAAATATATGTAGATATAGAGAGAGGGGGGAAAAGGATGGAAACAAAAGAAGGAGAGAGAGAGAGAGAGAGAGAGAGTGGGGGTCATTAGCTGGGTACTGTGAAAATGTACGAAAGATTGAGAGACACGAGACAGAGCAAAAGAAAAATAAAAAGATAAAGAAAATTGAGCGTTACTTTATGAAATTCATCTCTGTTTACCTTTTGCATGAAAACATGAGGGAACAGAGATTGGAAAGGATAAGGTAGAGAATGAGAAGATACAGACAAGAATGTGTATTATACACACATAAGAGGTAAAACCGACTATACTACGTGCTTATCGCAGATTTTACGCGTATGAATTTAAAACTGAAATGCTATGTGTCATTTGTTACCCCTTTTTACATGACATCGTTTTGGTCGACAATACAGAGAAATCCTAGATTTGGACCATAAGAAGCTTTATGATTGTGCAGTAATCCAAGTTTTATTTATTATGTTTACCAACATTTCACACAAGATTACAATTGCCGAGACGTTAAATTAGCTTGTTGACCCTTACTCAGTGACACAGATTACGACTTTTAAATATTTTCCTTATAATAACTAGTTTTTAGGGCAAAATTTAATGTAGCAATATTTTTGTATCGCTTTGAGACATTTCATTTTGTGCTAAATAAACTGATCCATGTGGCTTAACATCGTGAAATTATTATTTTAAAAGAAAAACAACATAAAGATTTTTTCATTTCTATAAATGTTAACGATAGAATTTTCAGTTATTCTTTGGACTTATTTTGTTTCAAAGGAAAAGTAATTCAAACTGATATTGGGTCAGAACAGCAGTTCGTAGCATTTGTGAGTGAATATTAAAGACAATATTTAAATATTTGTAAACAGATGTATAAAATCTATTTTGTTCCCCTACTTTTCGCTATCTATAAGGCAGTTTCAGGACTCTGTCTAACTAGAAGTTGACATCGTTTTAGTTGATGAATTGGATTAGTTGTTTTTACATGTTTTTAGAGAACTGAGGTACTTTCCTTCAAGAGAATTTGGTAGGAATCGGACAAGTGGTGATCCAAAAATGCAAGGTGAAATGAGTAGGGTGGTGTAATAGGACACGCCCTAATCAAGACGTACCAATTTTTGTACGGTCAGCAAAAGACTTGAGGTCTGGCGTTGTCCTGATGGAAGATGACACTTTTCCGTTTGGCAAATTCTGAACGCTTTTCATCGATTTAGTTATTAATCGCCACAGTTTTTTTTTTTACATTGAGGTTTACCCTGTACAAGGTCCGCGGGGGGGGGGCGCTCGAGCAAGAGGGTTTCAATAAGGGGTAGTTTATATAGATAGGAGGGAAGGATGACGGTTAACTCTAGACTTGAATAGGTTAAGTGATCGGGCAAACATCCTCCAGAGAGTCTGTTCCATAGGGCAGTGGTTCACGGAAAGAAGCCGTTCGAGTGGAACTTATTTCTCGCCGATGGGCGAAGTGATCAGCTTTAGACTGAAAAAGATGGAGTTCCACTTCTGGAAAGTTGAAACGTAAATCCCTTACATTGGTGGAAGAGGTGGTTTAACCAGTGGCGTAGCTAGGGGGAAGGAAGCGGTCTGCCCCTGGCGGCACATTTGGTCCGTGGTGGGTTTTAAAAAAAAAACAAAAAACAAAAAACAATAGCATAATTTTAATAATTTTTGCAAGACAAGCAGCGATAAGGAGAAGTTAGGGTTGAAATGAAGTCAATTTGTCTTTGATATGACTGGCTCAAAGGCAGCTAGCCAGCAATAAAATTATGTCTCCAAAACGCTCTGTCAGCTGATGGGGATAAACCCCACTTAGAAGGCGTGAAAAAAAGGTGTGAAAAAAAATTGAACATTTTTAAAGGGCTTGATTTGGGTTTGAATTAAGTGAATCCACAGTTTTTTCCTACCTATGTGAGAAGTCCAGTCTTTGGCGTCATTGCTTTGATTTTGATTTTTCATGTTTGGGAAAAAAATTAAATAAGTGAACCAATTGTTTTTTTCCCTTATAATAGTCCTAGTTTAATACGGATATAAAGTCATTACTTTTCATAAATTATAAAACAGATAGATAAATAAATTGAATTAATTCCAATGTTTTAAGGCATTCCTATTTGTCCGGAAATATCGAACAGAAATTTAAAAGAAAATTGAAAATTGATATATTTTTTAAGTCCGGAAACTTTATTTAACGTCAAAAATGCGCATTTTTTTCAATTTTTCAATTTACAAGTTTTCACGGTAGTAAAACAATGCCAAGTTTTAGTTTTTTGTTTAGATAATTGAAGTTTTATTAAGCAAAATAGACCAAGAATTAAAAGTAGGATAACATTTATTTCATTTTTTAAAAGTGAAATTAATTTTATCGGACTTTTAATTCTTAGTCTACTACTTTGCTAATAATAACTTCAACTACATAAAACAAAATAATTTAAAAAGACATTGCATTTTTAACATTTTAAAAGAAACACAAACCGCATTTCAGTTAACGTGGCATTTAATTTATAACTCCTCACTTGTTAGAATTGAAATAAATATTAGAAAAAACCCTGATAAATTATGAATTAAAACTACAATGTGTATTTTTCTTTATAAATAAAACAGAGGGTATATAAACCAAAACAAGGTATCTTTCTTTTAATATCGTAAAATGTTTTTAAAGTTTTCTCTATTTAGAAAAAAAAAGAAGTCTTCGTTTTTTTTACATATCCCAAGTTTTATTTTTAAAACATTAAATAAATAAACACAATTGTACTTTTATTTTATCATTGAGGAGTTATAAATACGACGTTAACAAAAACACGGAAAAAAACCTGGCATCATACGGCCATTAGATTCTGATAAATGGATAAATATATTAAAAATTGATGGCTGTACGAATAATTTCGTCGTTGACTATATATATATATATATATATATATATATATATATATATATATATATATATATATATATGTAAACATAGTAATATTGTATTCCTTCTGGGGAGGGGCGACAAACTGGAGGTCCTCCCTGGGTAGCTAAAATCAGTGGCTATGCCACTAGGTATAACTGGGGTCTACTTTTTATGTTTGTTAGTTTTGTTCATTTTCAAATTGATTGCTTTCATGTTTGATTTGGTGTATTGTGAAACTGATAGTCATTGGAGATGCACTCCTAATTAACCTGGGTTGACTCACCTTGAGATATTGCCGTAACAGTATCTACCATCATTGGCATCGAGAGGGCCCCGACGGAGACTACTGCACGGTCCAGAAACCATTCACAAAATGGCAGTGCAATAGACCCTATATTATACACCTTGCTGAAAGTTCGGACCCCTGACTATCTGGCGGATAACACCAAAACCCCACCAAACGTTTACAGACAGCATCCTTAATGAGAGGACAAATAACCTAGGAAAATATTTAAGTGCGATAATCCGAGTGTAAGTCTCTCGTCCGCCTAGTGGTCAGGGCAACAGAAGTCCTCTTTGGGTCAGAAACATCATACCGGCCAGACACCTACGGTATCAATACATGAGGACTAAAAGACCCATTGAAAGAAGGGGGTGGCGGGATGACGAAGGTTGATCATTTCGTTCCATTTTTACTTTTAGCATAAAAACAATTCCTAATCCACAAACAAATCATATAGAAAGACATATTTTGATATATCACCTTTCAGAATATGCGCATAGGTTATAAATTTCAGTCACGTGTGAAAGAAAATCGTATTCAAATGTCGCCTATTGTAAAACGCCACAAATTTTTATTCCAGTCGAATATATTTGTGACATTTCTAAAATGAATCATTGTTATTGTTTGGGTGAGTATCCCCATGCTTGTTGTTATCGCTCCATTTTAGATGATGCATTCTTCGTCTTTCTTCATTGTCTAGAATTCCAAGACAATTTATTTGTCCTTATTTCACCCGTTAACCTCCTCCCTATTGCATTTATCTCTCTGCTTAATGTGTTTCGCTTAAATATTTAATAGAATAAATGAAGCCTGTTTAATCTGAACGTAATCAAATAATTTATTCGTTACC